TAGATATCAGTACTGCCTCCCCCCATCCTGCCCCGTGACAACCAAAAAGGTGTCCGGACATTGGCAAAAAAAAAACGTCTGGGGGCCAGGCTGCCCCAGGTGGGGACCCACCATTGCAAGCATCCTAGTTTGTTCTCATAAAGGAGGGAGCTGGCCCGTGTTCCCCTGCGGAACACAAGAGCCATTGTTGGGTTGTGTTTACGCCCCTCTTGCCAGGAAAAAGGCAAAGCAGGGTTTCTGTGACGATCTCTCGAGGCTCTGACATCAGGGACCAGAAGTTCAGGAACTAGCATTTCGGAGACATGATTGAGACGGAGATTTCTGGCATGTGTAAGGACACAGGTCTCATTTGGAACATTAATGCCCTTGATCTTGCTGTGTAGGAGGCCCGTTAGGAGGAGGCAGGACTGTCCTTGTGGCTAATATGCCCCTTCACCAGTGCCCTGCAGCCCCCAGGAGTGGTAGGCAATGGCTGGGGTGTTCTTAGGGGGTCCTGTCTTCACCTCTTTGTGAACTCTAGCCTTGGGGCTCAGACCTAAGATTGCTCCACACCCTTCTCCCTCCTCCTCACAAAACTGGGGTGTTGCCACTGCCCTCTGTCTGGTTCTCTACTGGGGATGACCATGTTGGAGCCCACCTCCTACACCACACCCCCGCCTGCCCTGTCCTGGGCCCCTACCCTCTCCTCACCTGTTCAGTGTGCAGCAGGTCCCCACCCCCTCCACTCCCACCTTTGGCTGAGCTGGGTCCCACCTCCTGCACCCCCACTGTCTCTTCTCCTAGCCTGTGCCCAGCAATACTGGGGTACCCCCTCCTGCACCCCCTTCCCCTCCTCCCCTGCAGTATTCCCAGCAGAGCTGACTGTCCCCTGTGCCCTTTGCTGGACACTGCCAGCTCAGCCTTGTGGGTCCAGCTGGGTCTGGCGGGTGATGCTGTCCTGGTGTTTGCAGACAACAAGCAGGATCTGATTCTGGTAGAACAGATGGAGGGACTGGGGGATCCATGCTCTGGAGGCTGGCTGCAGTGAGACCGTGGCCTCCCCCGCTGGGTGTCAGCAGTGTGTCCGGCAGGCCTCTCAGTGACCTCAGTGGGGCAAAACTCAGGCCACTATGCAAATCCTCTGCCCAGCAAACACCCCCGAGTGGGCTCTGTGTTAGAAACCTGGCTTTGACTCCAGGTGTGTGGATGGTTGTGGATTTTCTGTTGTGTCTTATCCTGGACATTGCGTTATGATAGTAACAGTGCTTACTACACGGTGTGAGGTTGTAGGAGATGCTAAGTCAGATGCAGAATCCGTGATGTTCTCTCCTCTCAAAATCAAATTACTTTGGCTTGTCTCTTAACTGTGTCCTAAATGGTGCTTGGGGCTTAAAGCCCCAAACCCACTGCCGTCTTCGGGACTTTCACTCAGAGTGAGCCTGTAGAACTGCTCCTCAGGCTGTGTTTCCTAGAGAGTGAATCTGTACAGGGACCGACAGGTTCATTGTTCTCCCAAAGAGCGGCTGGTAGGTTTGTGGTTAGCAGCCAAACGCCGAACCCACAGCGAACCCACTGGGGCTTAGGTGCAGGTACCTTGGCCACCTCTTAGCAGTGTGGACAAGAGGATGAGTGGAAGAGGACTGGGGACATCATTGGTGTCCCCCATGTTCAGATAAGAGCAGCCCTCTGCAGGACGGTGGCCAACCCATGCTTTCCTGGCTCCTGTGCTGTGGGGAATGGACACCTCGTTCTGCCTCCCTCCCCACTCCCGTCTGCCTTGTACACTGCCCATGGTCCTCCAGGAGTCTCCTGCTTGGGGGTCACGTCAGCAGTCAGCCTGAGGAGAAGGGGGTGTCCTGCTGGTGGGCCTGTTCCCAGAGGCTCGGAACCTCAGGTCTCTGGAGGGGTCATTGTCTCTGCTCCGGGGTTTGCCTGGACACTGGACCTCCATTCCTGCATGGGTTTCACCTGGTGCGAGGTTACTGACTTATTGACTTCTTCCCACTGGTTTCCTGGGCCGCCTACTTAGGGCTTCCAGGTAAAGCCGGAGGACAAGGATTCAGAAGTCCCTGGAGCCTCCCCAGGGACTGTCTGTTATTTTAGGATGGTGGTTCTATCTCTGGCGGCTAATTCTGGGTGGTGATTGAGGTTTCGGGTCAGCCTGGCTGGGCTACTTCTCACTGCTGTGGCCATTAAACCGCATCATCACCTCCAGGTGCGATCTGACATCATCACCTCCAGGTGCGATCTACTATGAGCAGCTAGTCAGCTAAAAGGGAGTTGTCTGGGGTGTGGCTTGCAACACCTTTTATCTTGTCGTTGTTGTTGTTAAGTGTTGTCCAATCTGTTCCAACTCAGAGACTTTGTTGTAGGGTTTCCAAAGATTGGCTGGCAGGGATGAACCACCGACCTTGTGCTTAGCAGTCTACTGCTTATTCTACAGCGCACCCCCAGGACAAGAGATAAAAGGAGAAAGAAGGAAGGAGAGAAGATCATCAACATCAGCGTGACTACAGGTGGTCAGAGAACTTGAGGAGAACTGAAGTTCTTTTCCCTTAAAACTGTGAAAACGCCAACAAAGCAGTGTGTGTACGCGCTCGTATGTACTTTGTTGTAAATACAAGCAAGGAGCTGGCAGTGGACCTGGGGTCCCTGCCCTGAGAGACTGCTAGATCCAGGGGAAGATGGATGCCAAGGCACAATCAAATCTGCCCAGAATGCTGGGCCTTCAGATGCTAAAAGGAGACAGGGCCATTTCCCCAGAGCGCACACAGAGAGCCTGTCTCCCAGAGCCTGGGCTTAGAATAAGGACTGGCAGCCTCCGAAACTGACTAACTTTCTGTTTGTTAAAACCGCCCCCTTGTGGTGTTTGTGCTGCAGCCCACGTGTTGTTGTTGTTAAAGTGCCGTTGAGTTGGTTCCGACCCATAACAACCCTGTACAGTGTTTCCGAGGATGTAAATCTTTACGGGAGTAGAAAGCCTCATCTTTCTCCCGTGGAGCGGCTGGTAGTCTCGAACTGTTGACGTTAAGGTTCACAGCCCGATTCGTAACCACTATGCTACCAGAGCAGCCCACATGAGGGCTGAGAAATCTCTGGTTTTGCACTTACCCCTTGCTGTGGTGGTAAACAAGGCCCCTGGGTCGCCTGTCTTCCCTTGGCAATTTCTGGGACATTCCTCTCTCAGGTGGGAGCCCTGGCTAGGTTCTTACGGGCACAGGGGTCATCGGGAAATGGCTCAGCCATTGCTTATGCTGTTGTGGCTGACTACTGTTATCGACTTGCTACTGAAAGTTGTCATATGGTGACGTCGTGTGTGGAAGGACCCCATGTTGCCCGGTCCTACACCACTTTCGCGATAGTCCATCTGTTCGACCCCACTGTTGTGGCCTCTGTGTATCATTCTAAGTAGAGCTTATCTTCCGGCTCTCCATGGGAGTCCTGCATGGCGCTGTAGAATAAACCCTGGACTACTAACCTTAAGGTTTGCAGTTCAAACCCACCAGCCGCTCTTCAGAAATCCTATACAGGGTTGCTACGACTTGGAACCATCTTAACAGCATACAACAAGAAGAACGGAACAGTGTTGTGTTGTGAAAGCACAGGTTTCCCATGGACTCATTTTCAGATGGAGATGGCCAGGCCTTTCCTCCTAGTCTCCTTTTGTCTGAAACGTGTCCACCATGGGTGACCCTGCTGGTGTTTGTAAGACATCTAGCAGGCACCACACAAGCCCCTCCAGTACGACCCTCTGGTAGACAGGGCACTACTTTTATTAGCTCATTCAATGATCACAGCCAACCTGTGAGGGAGGCTTAGGGTGATTCCTGTCTTACAAACGAGGAAATCAAGGCGTAGGCAGCTAGAGTAGCTTCTATCTAGTAGACGACAGAGCAGAGGTCGCTAACAGAAAACGTCACAGGTCTTTGTGCTTGCTTTATGGGAAGTATTTTCAGGGTGATAATTATGTTGGAGTCCTGGTGTGGCGCTGTAGGATGAACATTGGACTGCTAACCGCAAGGTCAGTGGTTCAGACCCACCAGTTGCTCCTCAGAATCCTTGTTACAGGGTCACTGAGTCAGAACTGACCCGAGAGCACTGAAAACATCAACAGTTACCTTCAAATACGTTTGATCATTCAACCTTAGAGATTTTCTCACTCCGATATTTTATCTTTCAAAAAGTGACCTGGGCGGATCAAAATACCATTACTTTCCATTTTTGTTCCATTGGTTTGGCATGTTTGACAGTGATTGGACTCAGGACTAGGGTTTCCCCCCTTTTTTGTATTGCTATTAATATCTAACACCTTGAAAATTAGATCTGAGCGGAAACCCTAAAACCAAAACCTTTACCTCAGCACGTAGTGCACCAGTATTCACCATAGCCCCTAAGTGGGAACCACCATCGATGAGTGAGCACACAACATGGGGTCTACCCCTCGGGGAATGGGGATCCACCCATAAAGAGGAGCAAACTTCTGATACATGTTGTGATGAAGATGAAAACATGCCCGGTGATACCAGCCAGGCATTTCAAAGGACAAATTCCCCACGGTTCCGATACAAAATCTCTAGAGTGTATAGAGACAGAAGTAGATTTGTGCTTTCCAGGGGTGGACGGAAGGGAGAGGAAGATGGTGCTTTGGGGTGTTTCTTTTTGGGGTGATGGAAACATTTTGGAAATGGTGATGGTTGTAAAAAAAAAAACAAGCAAGAGGAAAAACAATCCTGGAACTCTTGTGTTGTGGGCACATTTTGCAGCAAAATCAATAATTTATACTCTTGACCATATAAATACCAACATGTCTTGCTTATTACATTTTGGGGAGGGGGAACGAGGAAGGTGTTTACTTCTGTAGATATTTAGTGCTTTGTGAACCCCACGGGCCAAGCAGTATGGTAGACGTGAGTCAGAATTGACAGGTCCCAGCAGGTTCGGTGCTTGGGGTCCGACGTCGAGATTGTTACCGTCTGACTCTGCCTTCCTTTTGCAGAGACTCCTGCCTGATCCAAGGAGACATGGGAAACAGGCAAAGCCATGCGGGCCAGGCCTTCCACTCCCAGTTCCTCCCACAAGAGCAGGCTGAGATCGACCAACTGTTTCATGCCCTCTCGTCTGATAGGAGCAGCGCTCACACCTCGGCCCGGACCTTCTCTCTGCAGGCGCTGAAGGCAAGAACCCTAGCCCCAGTTACCTTAGGTTCAGAGCTGGGGTCTCCAAATGCACACACCTGTTTTTATAAAGCAGGTCTACCGGACCACAAGAAAGTTTGTCTTCTGCAGAGGGCCAGATAGTACCCATTTTAGACTCTGTGGTCTCAGTCATAACTACTCAGGTCTGTTGTAGCTAGAAAGTGGCCACAGACAAGACCGCTGCTGACCCCTTTATAAAATCATGGACTCTTCCATGCACACAAGAAACAGAGTCAGGGCAGATACTGACTGCTCTGTCTGATGTTTGGGGCATGTTTCTGGTATGCGCTTAGCACCAGAGGGGTCTGCCATGCTTGTTATCTCTTGAGCCCCCTATCTTAGGTCCTCCTCCCAGGGAACAGACAGGATGGTGGGTCTGCTCAGTGGGACTTGTGGGGCCAGGAACCGTGACACATCACATGTACCTTTGCCGTGGAATTTTCAGGTGTTCGGTACCCTAGGCGTTTCACAGTGTTCTTAACGGAGCAAAGCCAGTGCTGCCGAGTTTACTCTGACTCTTGGTGACCCTGTAGGACAGCAGAACTGACCCAAGGGGTTTCCAAGACTGTCCGTCTGTTTGTGAGCACACTGTCTCATCTTTCTTGTGTGGAGTGGCTGGTGGGTTTGAAGCTTGAGACAGTGCACCACCAGGGCTCTTAATGATGGCAAGAACTCTCAGATTCAAGACTCATCACTGTAGACATTCCAACTGCCCCATGCCCAGGTTTTGTCTGGGGTCATGGGGGCTCGCAGTGCGAGGTTCAGAGTTGAGGTGGAGGCAGAACATGGCAAAGAACATCCGCTGGTCTTCCCGGGAGTTGTGGAGTGTTTTAATAGCTCTCCTCTTCTAGAACATGCAGGATGGGACATGAGGGGATGCTGGGGACCCCACATGTTCAGTAGACAGGTTAATAGGGTCACAGCTGCTGTGTGGTAAATGTGTGTATATATGTGTAGCTCTGTATGTGAATATGTGTGTACAGCGCTGTGTTCACATGTGTGTAACTCGTGTATGTGGACACACGTGTGCAGATCTGTATGCGATGTGTGCCTGCAATTCTGTGTATGTGTTCATGTGTGCAACTCTGTATATGTGTGTCCAGCTCTGTGTGTAGGTGTCTATACATGTGTGGCTCTAAGTGTATGCGTGTGTGCAGCTCACTGTGCACTCATGTGCATGTACAAAGGCCCCATGCAGCCCACCTGGGTCCCAGGCAGCTGGAGCAGAGCGCACCCCACAGGCCAGGTAGAGACTCTCCCGTAGAGCAGGCTGCCGCATCCCCTCATCTTCATCAAGATCAGCGTGGCTACAGGTGGTCGGAGAACTTGAGAACTAAAGTTCTTTTCCCTTAAAACCGTGAAAACGCCAATAAAGCACGGTGTGTACGTGTTCACGGTACTTCATTGTACATACAAAGGGGCTTCTGAAAGTTTGTGGAAAAATGCAAGTGAGAGATACTGGAATTTTTCCACACGTGTTTTGAAGCCCACTCACATAAACTATATAATCACATAGAAGTCCCCTCATGTAAATAGACATTTATATAAATACATAGTCTTGAGAAGCCCCTTTGTATGAATAGTCATATAGATGGTATACAGTGAGCTACCTCTGAATATATACACAGGCCAGTGGCTCTGTAGAATCAGTGCAGACAGCTGGTCACAAGGTTGGTGGTTCGAGCCCATCAGCTGCTCCACAATAGAAAGATGAGACTTTCTGCTCCTGTAAAGATTTGCAGCCTTGGAAACCCTATTCATTTCTGTTAAATGCCGTCGAGTTGGTTCCGACTCAACAGTGAGTGTCCCTGTACAGGGTTTCCAAGGTTTTAAATCTTCACGGGTACAGAAAGTCTCACCTTTACCCTACACACGGTCATTGTAAGTCGGAATCGACTTAACAACACTTAACAACAACAACAATATATACACATACATTTTTATTCAGATAGACGTACCCATGTACATATATGTGAGGGGCTTCAGAAAGTTCATGGGGAAATTCCATATCCTTTCATTCTATTGTTCCCACAAAACTTTTGAAGCCTCCTCATATAGCGTATATACCTGCTGCTAAGTTGGTTCTGACTCCTAGTGACCCTGTGTAAGGTTTTCAAGGAGCAGCTGGTGGGTTTGAACCGCCAACCTCGCAGTTAGCAGTCCAGTGCTAATCCAGCACCACACCAGGACTCCTCAGAGTTCTGGGGGCCTCTGCAGCTACTAGCCAATCCTTGCTGACGTTCTTACCCTCATCAAATGGTGTATACTTCACACAACAGATGTGTTGTTACCTTCTTGTCACCAGAAACACTTCTGGCTGGTGAGAGGGGACCCTGCCTTCCCAGAACTCGGAATATCAATCTTTGGCAGATCCATACTGGTGCTCGCTTGTTCCCGGAGGATCCAGCCTTCAGCCTCCACAGGGCCGGAAGTAGCTGTTTTCTCTTACCAGGTACTTGCAGTCCTGACCAAAGTCACATTGGATGCTGGAGCCCCCCAAAATACGGCCAGTGGAATTTACAGAAGGCTACCAAAACATTCATTATGAATTAAGTTCAGAGAGACCAGGGCAAGATGGAACTTGACTAAACACTGAACCGAAGTTCTGCAACGAAGACAAGTAAGAGCAAGTGAAACGTGTGGATGGAGATCCAGGAAACCGGAGCCTCAGAGGACCAGTGGAGAGGTGGCTTCAGTGCTGGCTGGAAGAGGAAGCTGAACAGGAGCGGGGCGAGGGAAGAAAACAGGCGCACTGTGTGTGAGCTGGCCCCGAGCGCCACAGTCGCCTTGAACCTTTGTGAGCAGCTGTTGGTACAGAATGTATGGGCACAAGATATGGCCAAGGGCTGCAGTTCTCTCTGGTTCTGTACCCTCCTGGTAGCCAGGGGCATGGCCAGTCCCCACCCTCACCAACCCAGTGTCCAGTGGTGCCCCTTCGTCCCTGCGCAGTCTTAGCTCTGTCTGGGGTGGGGCGCCTGCCATAGCACCCCTGCTCTGGAGATGTGTGACCCCCACCATGAACTCGGCTACGCAAACAGTGGACAGAGGACTAACTGCCTTCTTACGTCTACCACGTGCTCTGCCACATTCTCTACCACGTTCTCTACCACGTTCACCAGGACAGAGGGGGTGGACGCCTGAGACTACATAGTATACAGACGTCAACTGAATCTGTGTCTCAGAGAAAACAGTGTCAGCTTACACAAAGAAACAAGACAGAGCCTCAAGCAAGTCTCCAAAATACAGAGAAAAGATAACACCAGAAATGGTATTGAAACTACCTGATGAGGAATTTAAAAGAAGGCTAATTCAGCAACTTCAGCAGATTGAAAGATAGTGAAAACTACAGACGAAATAAAAAACATGGCCCAAACTGTGGGGAAAAGCAGGAAACAAATTGAAAATATGGGAACCGGACAAAATCAACTATTAGGCCAGATTAACACCAAGACTTCAGAAATAGATAATACACTGAAAGGCAGAGAGATAGAGTTGGATCAATGAAAAGCTGAATTACTGAGCTTGAAAAACAACCCAAAAACCAAACAGCTTTCCATAATCGTCTGTGAGAGGAACAATAAATAAAAAGAATATCAACAAAAAATGTGAAGAAAGTCTAAGCTTTATGTGGGACACTATCAAGAGGAATGAGACCTGGTGTGGTGCTGTAGGGTAAGCACTCGACTATCAGGTTGGATTGACCTGCGAGGTCCATGGTTCATACTCAACCAGCCGCTCCTGGAAAGCCCTATACAGGGTCTCTGAGGCACTTAACAACACAACATTCAGGAAGAAGAACTTGCATGTGACAGGAATAGGAAGAGGCAGAAAACCCATAGAGAATATTGTCCAAGAGTTGTTGAAAGAAAACTTCCCTAACGTCATGAAAGGAGACAATTTAAGAAGTTGAATGAACCCCCCATGGAATAGAGCCCAAAAGAAAACATTAAGACATAGTCAGAAATTTTGAAACCAAAGACAAGAATCCTGAGACAGCAGCTCAGGAAAAACAAAAAGTTGCCTATAAAGGACAGCTAACAAGACTAATAATACAGACATGGCTACAGTCATACACTGACAGAGAACTTCAGAGGGTCAAGCTGGATTCAGAAGAGGCCGTGGAACAAGAGATATCATGGCAGATGTCCGATGGATCTTGGCTGAAAGCAGAGAATACCAGAAGGATGTTTACCTGTGCTTTATTGACTGCGCAAAGGCTTAAGATTGTGTGGATCATGACAAGCTATGGACAACATTGAGAAGTATGAGTATTCCAGAACACTT